GCGTTCTGGTACTTAAAGCTCTCCCAGCTTTGGTTTTGATGGATAAAACGAGCACTGAGCTCGACCCGCCATACCGACTGACAATTGCTGCTCGAGGCGCTGGTGCCAGATATGGATAACGCGCGGGACACCTCTGGGCGCTGGTGCGCATCTTCATAAAGTACGACACTTCGGGACTGACGAGGACTAAAAATTCATTTGTTATGAGTCAAAACCGCTGACAACCGGAGAACACAAAGCTTCTTCTAAACCAACAAACTAATTTGGAGAGAATAGTCCGCGAAAAGCCTTCAAAGTACTTTTACAAACTTCATAGGAAGCGTTGAAGTAGAGAAGATGCGTCAAAACGCGGCAGGCAGATTTCAGATGCTGCTTTGGTCATTACTTCTCGTTAGTTTGGGGACGGGATTTCCTACCAGGCACAATGTTGCCCACAAGGTAAGTTTTTTAATCTGACATACTTCGTGTTGGCTTTTAGTAGCTTTGAAAGTTGAGCAACATGTTTTAAAAAGCTGCGATGTCTTGATAAAAAACACGCCCACCACTGATCAAACGAAATTTTGCAAAGAACTAATGCCTCGTTCAATCTGCAAACTGTTTTGAAATGCTTTTCCGTGGGCTATACTCTTATCAGCATCAGAATCAGCTTTATTGCCCAGGTGTGTTGAACACATGAGGAATTTGACTTTGGCTCTCAGTGCACGTACAATGCTCTTCCATAAAGCTACCAATAAACAAGATAAAACAGAGAAAACAAGATAAGAAAAATGATGTGTAAACACGAAAAGGTAGTGTGCATTGGAAAAATAAAAATACTTATAAACATAAAATATATGTGTATATAAACAGTTTAGATGGAGTTTTTCAGATAGATATTTACAAAGGTGGCGACCCGGGGCCTTTCTATACAGATTTTATATGTTCTTCCTGTGCCTGCGTGGGCTCTCTCCGGGTACTCCTCCCACAGTCCAAAGGCATGCAGCTTAGGTTGACTGGAGACTCTAAATTGCCAGTAGGAGTGAGTGTGAGTGTGTGTGGTTGTTTGTCTACATGTCAGCCCTGTGATAGACTGGCGACCTGTCCTAAAGTCCACTGTCATCTCCATTGTTTTGAGCATGTTCAGCTCCCGGTTGTTGCAACCACACCACAGGATCAGCTGTTCAACCTCCCATCTGTAGGCCAACTCATCACAATCTTGGATGACAGGTGGGGACAGGCACAGTGAGCTGGGTCAGTTTGGAGTGGAGGATGGTGTTGAATGCCGATTTATGCCGAGTCCACAAAGAGGGCCCGTGCACAGGTCCCTGGGGATTCAAGGTGTTGCAGGATGCAATGCAGTGCCATGTTGATGCATCATCCACTGACCTGTTCACCCGGTAGACAAACTGCCAGGGGTCCAGCAGGGAGGTCTATGACATCCTTCAGGTGGGCCAACACCGGTCTTTCAAAGGACTTCATGACTACAGATGTCAGGGCAACAGGTCTGTAGTCATTCAGTCCACTGATGGAGGGTTTCTTGAGAACCGGGATGATGGTGGAGCGTTTGAAGCAGGAGGGGATTTCACACAGCTCCAGTGATCTGTTGAAGATCTGTGTGAAGACGGAGGCCAGCTGATCAACACAGGCTTTCAGGCAGGAGGGGGTCACACCATCTGGGCCTGGTGCCTTTCTGATCTTGTGTTTTTTAAAAAGGCCACGCACATCCTTGTCACAGATCTACAGTGGTGGGGGGTTGTGTCTGTGTGTGTGTGTGTGTGTGGGGGGGGGGGTTGGTGTTTTTCTGAAACCTTAAAGTAAAACGCTGTGAGTCTTCCCCAGCAGGGGGTATGGCTTCCTGTAGCCAGTGATGTTTTTCAGGCTTCTCCACAGAGACGAGGGGTCCTTGGTTGAAACCTAGTTTCTCAGCTTCTCAGAGTAGCTCCTCTTTGCTATTCTGATCTACCTTGTCAGTGTGTTCCTGACCCACCTGTCCCCATGTCTGCATGCATCCTCTTTGGTACAGCGAAGTGGCTTGAGTCTTACTGTGAACCAGGGCTTCTTGTTGTTGTATTTGCAGGTCTTTGTGGGCACACACATAAGCTAGTCTAGGAACAGTTTTGTGGTACTTAAGGTGCATGTTCTACTTTTAATTGTACACTTGTTCTCTAAAATGTTGAATCTCTGATATTCAAAGGGTTAAACAACATCTTAGAATCACCTACAGTCATTGCCCTCCATCAATTTCCATAAACAATTCCAATGAAATCTCAAGTCACTGGTCTGAATTTTCTCATCGGTGTATGTTTTTCTTCTTTGTTCCACTTCTTTCTCCATGTGTAGTAAGGTTTGCCATCACTGGGCACACACCCTACTATAATAAATCCAAACTACGCGCTGTGCAGTGTGTGGTGTGTCTACGGGAATGTTTGTGTGACATACGGACATATTTGGATATCAAAGTCTGTTTGTGTGTGCTTGTGTCAGGGCTTAGTTTTTGCCTTTGAACTCTCTCCTTGTGTGGCCTCCCATGGATGCCCTGTTGGGACTCCCTCTCATCATCTGCCTGATTGATGTCAAAGCAAAAAGACTTGAGGAAAAAAGAAGGAGGGAAAGGGAGAAGAAGTAAAAGAAGAAGAAAATCTCACTTTGGTTTGTGTGATTGTTCATTGCATTTACCACAAGGCTGCAGTTGGTGACTCTGTACCAGCTGGATGCTGGTCCTTAGTGATCAGTGGAGAGGAGAGATTAGTAGAGGAAGAGAGAAGGAAGGAGGAATTGAGGCTCTGTAAAGTGGGTGCCCAGTTACAAAATGCTTATGTAACCAAAATAAGGCAAGCTCCAGGCATCTCTTACTGGAGTAAGTCAAGTGTCGTTCATCTGATTGTTTACACTGGCTCTTTTTTGTGTTAACGTGGAATTTCCTGTTGTTGCTTTTACCCCCATTTCTCATCAAAGGAGAAGAGGAGGTATTGTGGTGAAATAGTCTCTTTTACAAATACTGGGGCAAATATTGGGTTTGCCCTGTCTGTTATGTACCCCACCTCCCACACTAACCTCCACAGCTCCACCCCGATTCCAGCAGGCATGCATTTGTTGTCTTGTTTCCATTTGTAAAAGATGGCGATCAAAGAGTGTCCATAGTTTATTGTTCTTTTGTAATGGTTTGGAAACCGCCAAGTTCATGGGCCTTTGATATCTGCGGGTACATAAATCAGGACTGTCACATCATCTGGCCTTCTCAGCCTGCCCCCCCAGCCCACAGCCACACCTCTGCTGCCCCTATCCAGTCTTCCGACCTCCTCATCCTAACAGGAATGTATGTCACTACTGGCAGTAGCAATGACAGTAGACCAGCATGGATTTATTCTTTTCAGTCATTTGAAAGGAGGATGTGGTGCCATAAGGGTGGATTTGTCAGTAATGTCCATCTGAGAAGACAGAAGCAGTGTCCAGATCAGGCAGAGATCCTCCAGTGCATCCATACATTCGCTGTGTTAAACGTTGCATGCTATCAGCTCATCAGGCGTTTGCTCGGAAGAGTCCCACCACCAAGAGGACGAGAGCAGCATCAGAGAGAACCATGGGGAGAAAGAATGGAGGAGAGTGATATACAGGGTGAAAAAAACTACAGGATCCAGATGTGTAACAAGATGAGAGGAGGAGGGTATAAAAGCATGTGGCCTCTCTCATGACTCTAGAGTTAGTGTTTTTCATGTTTGTGTGAGTCTGTAGGTGTTAGGGCATGTGTGTGAATGTCAGGATATGTATGATCACCACAAGTCAGGTTTGGCATGCACTTATGTTTCAAACAGGGCAGTAAAAGCATCATGCTGGAGGATTTATGCAACCAAATTCTATATACCAGACAGCAGAAATCATTTGTAACACATGGTGAGAGAAGCATAAGCATGGGGCTTTTATATCTTGCTATGTTTACACAGAGAATATTGTTAGTGTATACAATTTCTTTGTCATTTCTTGTTATAGATTCCAAATATAATACACTGGAGGTATAGGCACTGGTGCTTTCCTAAAAGAAGAGAAAAGAAAGAATAAAAAACATGTATTATACTAAAATAGTTGATTCTCCATTGACAAATAAAAGACTCGCACTCTGGTCAGTCTGTGCTGACTTAATTGTATTTATTCTGGATCCAGTAAGCATAGTTTAGCGTATCTTCAGACAGAATCACTGTAATTTCCACGACTGACCAGTCTGATGTCAGTGTTACAGTGAGTGACTTCTTCAGTGTGACATTTCAGACAGCAGTGAAACTTGTCTTATTTTGTCCACCAACAGTCCAAAATCGCAAGATACTCAGTTTATGATGATATAAAACAGAGAAAAGCAGGAAATATTCACAATTTAGAGACTTTACCCAAGAATGTTTTGGTCTTTTTTTTTTTTACAAATTACTTGAACGACTGTTTGATTATCAGAACAGTTAGTGTTTTATTAGTTATAGTAATTATTTTGTGTATCAACTAATTGATTCATTTACTAATTGTTTCACCTCTTATTTTCATTATTATGGAGGTCAAATCCATTTTTTACATTAAAAAAAAACATATTTAAAGAGGTTTTTGTTGGCTCAAATTGACATGTGTATTAGTCTGTGATAAATAAAGAACCTATTAAATCTTTCCTCACTAGGATAGTGGATTTTTTGGTTTTAAAATATATTTAAAATTTCGCTCCTCTCAACTTCCGTGTCATCACTTTTCTGAACCGGAAGAGAAAACATTGTCAGACCATTTTTTGGAGCCTATTTATTTTTATTTCCTACACAATAATAATAATAAACAGTCTTACCTAAATATGAAGTAGAATTGATGTACTCTTCCCCGCTGCCAAAATATTTTATCACAAGCTTTGAAATCTTTAGAAAAGTATACTTTGCCGGATGATGTCGACATCAGGTGCAGTGCTTTGAGGGTGAAAATAGCATAGAAGGTCTCACACACAGCTTCATTTAGAAAGTTTCTATCTGGACAAGGTATTGTGAAATTGGTGTGCCATACTTTTAAAGATGCAAGGTACAAAATAATTCATTGCCCTCTCTTCCTGACTCCGTTCATGAAACCCTTCCACTATGTCTAGCAGGATTCGGGCCCTGTGCGCTGTCAGGCTCTCACTGAACTTCTGTGTGTCACTCATTAAATTCTTTTATCCTGGAGGAGATGTTTTTCTCACAAAGAAAATCGCCCCCTCCACCGCTCTTGACTATGTCCTGTATCATATCTCTGTCAAATGTGCACGGACCAGAGCCTGATGTTTGTTCTCTCAAACCCGGGTGCAACCTTGTGCCATCTTTGAGAAATATTCTCCATATATTTATGTCCATACTTTGTAGCGGCATGAGTACACAGTGTAATATCATTTTCTGATAGTAGAGCATCCTGCACATACTGCAGTGCTACCTGCAGAAAGTAGCACTTGGTGGTCTCTCTACATGGGAGCCAGCAAGTTTCTCCAGTATGAAACTTACTACTTCCATAGCTTTGTTAACACTTAGTCCTCTGTTTGTGACTAAGTGCATGTACACCGCTCAAACAGCATCTGTGCTAAAAGGTGGAGATGTGAGTCTGACCCCGTACTAATTAGTCCTGAATTTCAGCAGGCTCTCTCCTCAAAACAGTTCAACCTCTTTATTCAAAACCTTCATCTGCTCTGGAAAATCAAATGTCCTAATCTGGCCCATCTTCCTTTTACAATAATTTGCATGAATGCATTCATTATTCTTCACTAATTTCATTTTTATGTCCTCACAGATCCTGAGCTTTGCTATCTGTCTGGACCACTGCCTGTTCAGATCCATGTTCTGTCTTCTGAGCTCCTGCATTTGTTGCTCTTATTCAACCTTTTGTAGGCCTATACACTTTTTGGATGCTGCTGCTTAAGTCTCTCCCTGCACTGAGTCAGTTTAGACTGCTGGTTTGAAATCTTTATTACAGTAGGTACACCTGTACAATTGTATGCACTTCAGTGCAACAATTCTGCCTTAACATCTGTGTTTATGAAGCTCAAAATGTTGCACTTTTGGTTATAAATGTATATATTCAATTATACATTTATTACTGAGGTCATAGTTAAAGGTGGTGTTGTACTGGACTACATAGTTTTCAAAGGTGTCTCTATATTTTTGTCCTCCCCAGCTACATACTGTACATGAGAGGGTCCGAATATTAGGAACACCTCTAAATATAATATAGTCCAGTACAACACTACCATGTTATACATGAGGCTTTCCTGAATTTATTGATATAGAAATCAAATTGTTGCTGGTGGTGTTGGGAGAAGGCCCCTTCAGTAAAATACTCAAAACTGATTTTGTACAGTGAAGCTACATTTTTTTGACAGGGAACATTCAGGGTGACTGGGAAAAGGGATGGGCTACAGTTTGAGTGACATTTCTTTTCACTGGTACAAAACCCCTTCTGGGACTTTTGGGTGAAATGAGGAGAGGCGCTGGGTCCATTTTTCTTCCAAGTGGGCTGGACTCCAAAATGAGGATGGCTTTCAACATAATATTTCAGACCAAAAGATAAACAGATAATGATCAACTGACTGCTAAAGTGTCTCACTGGCTTGTCTTCTTTACATAAAAACAGAAAAAAATCATTTCAATGTTTATAGTTTTTAAAATGATGTTTTGAATTTCAGTCCGATGCCTTCCACTGTGATTATATTGCGGCTAGAACGTTTGACCTCCCCACCATTATATCCAGTGCAGAAACCTTTACCAGGACAAATATCAAATATCAAATCAAAATGTCCAATTAAAAATCTAAAATCTGTGAAATATTAGTCTTCCTTTAGCAAACTTAAGTGATTTTGTGCCTGAGTGCTTTCAGCGGTCTTGGTAATTATTGAATTTTAATGTAACATTGAGTTATCTTGGCAAGAATATGGGAGTTACTTTGCATTTACTGCAATATGTGTAATACTTTCTTGCAGCATTTGCAAACAGTGGATAAAGTTACTGAGAGAAAGGCTAAATATCCCAAAATGGTTATCTGCTTGTCACCACCAGTTTACAGATATGTGGGGAGGGGGCCAGCTTTTCCTCATCCATCATTTTGCATGCTTGACAGGCTTTTCTTCTAAATAGGCATTATGTGTTGGCCAGCCACATAACTTTATGGGACAATCACAAGCAGTCAGTGAAAAGTAAGCCTTGTTCTAGAGGCTGTAGCCATAAATAATCATGGGTCATTAATTCAGACGTTTCTTCTCTTCTTTAGCTCTCCAGCCACCACTGGTTTGCTCTAAGCAGACCACAAACTGGCTCGGGTCCAAGTTTAAGGTCCTGTCCAGTCGTGGCTGTATGTTTGGGCTAGGAGGATCTAGACGTGAATGAATGACAGACAAGGGTTTATTAGAGGGTTTGGATTTGAGTTTTGACAAAATAGATATGTGCCCTGACGTTAAACAGACACATGCATACTGGAGACACAAACTAACCAAAAAATAATTTTCACTGATTATATTCCAAGTACAGTACATATATCTACAATCCCCACCAATATAATGTCACCATTAATCTCACAGATTAATATTCCGGCTGTTGATCTTCTTAATAGTTGTACAACTGGAAAGGTCAGATGAAGTGGTGGCTGTAGCAGCACAGCAGGAACGGACGCACTCGCACCAGTCCAGGGGCCCATGTCTCCCAGGCCCTCTCATTAAAGCTAAAAGAGGATCTCTCTGGCACAGGCTCCTCTTTGTCTATGGCCTGGATGCCATGACTGTTGGGGGTGGGGATGAAATGAACAAGGGCTGGTTGGTCACTTTGCTGGTTAGCTGGATGCCTCAGGGGCTTTTTGGAATTGCTGACCAAGCTGTGAACTGGTAAATGGTTTTAAGGTTTCTTCCTTGAGTTGGAGCACTAAGTGTTCTTACACTCATCAGTGAGCCACAATAAATAATAGATGTTTTTGTCAGTAGTTTTTTTAGATGTATGCCAGTGGTGACACTAAGATTGTCTCAGTTGCTCTTGTTAATTACATGATTCAAGGTGGTGTCTGTACACAGTCAGCACAGATGCACAATGCAGTCTAATGTCTTAAATCATTCCACCAGATTACTGTTTCTGATTCAGGTAAATACACAATAACTTACCTTTTGCCTTTGTAATTTGAAATTTGTACTTTCCATCAGGCTCAGGGCCACCCATTTCACAGTGCTGGGGTCCAATATATCTCTGACACTCTGGAGCAGCAGAACCAGGTGCAGAGTCTGCTGCCTGAATCGAACAGCCAACAGAGGAGGTGGTCACACCCTCAGCACCGCTCTGTTGGTGTTCTCCCACAGCCGGAGCCTGAGGAGGAGACCCAGCCCTTCATCTTGGACCTCAAGAACTTCCCAGATCTAGCAAATGCTGACATCAATGCGCAGAACCCCAACATACAGGTGATTGGGGAGTCATGACTGTATTTGTGGATGTGCAGTATTTAAGCTCCTTAGACAGCCTTTCAGATAGTAATAAAAATATATTTTTACTTTTTAGTTAGGAATACTGTATTTAACTCAGTATAAGAGAACAAGAACAACCCCTTGTAGAACTGAAATTAGTTTATTTTAGTTTGTGTTCTTTATGCAAAGATTAACCAGTAGGTGGCAAAATATAGATAAAAAACCCCTTTATACAAGGACAAATTATCTTGTACAAAATGATTTATAACCTTAATGTGCAACAGAAATCAATATCTCTCATTCAAATTTTAGAGACCCCACTTGTTACTATTTAAATAAAGTGTAATAAAGGTAAGAATGATCTGTAATCGTAGGGGTCCATTATGTTCTCATCATTTCCCTTTAAACTGACACAAAAACTTCAAGAAAGTTCTGTTTAACTTATGTCCGGGCAGTTACCCTCTCCAGGTCTGGTCAGCAGAATCAGGATGTGGTTAGAGGAACATTATGATGTCGGCCTTTGTCTACATCAGTACAGAGACAGAGGCACTTTATAGACCAGAGGTACCATTCTTTGGCTGGAAGACTCTACACCAATGATATATATTCAGCTACAATAAATGAAGGCAGTTCTAAACTTCCTTCCTAACTGTGAAATGAATTACACAATAGTTACACAATGATAGATTTCCCCTGTAATCTCTGTTGCCTGGTCTTCACGCCAGCTGATGTGGGCCCCTGGAAGTACTGTAGCATCTAGAATGAGTCATATTGAGGTAATTATCCAGAATAAATGCTCACATTCTCTCCCCAAGAGGATCATTTGGTTGGCTGAATGTTCATGCTCATGCCTGGCTGGCTAACTTATATCGGAAAAGCGGGTTCATTTGCTAAAATATTCCTCTGTCGATTTGAGATGGTTGATTTCTTAAGAAAAACCACTAAAGCTGCACAATAAAATCAGTGATCCTGTACTGGACAGTGTAGTCTCTTGCTGAATGCTTATGCCACTGTTAATGAACCAGTTCTAAGTGTGGGTGTGGCTTGTCACTGGCCCTGTAGTTGTAGTTGGAGTACTAGTTGTTCAAGTTGACTTTGGACTGGCTGTCTATACAGGTAACTATTGAGGTGGTGGACGATCCTCAGATGGAGGTAGAGATGGACCTGGCCAAAGAAAAGGACTGGTTTCCCTCCTTTTCCTCCTCCCCTTCTTCTACAGTAGATTGGCTCGGAGGCAAGAAACTTTTCTGGCCCCTTTTCTGGAGTTACACAGATGCTGATTCCAGCGAGGACAGCAACAGCCGGTCAGGCACAGCGGAAACTGGCGAGGAAGAGGAGGAGGAAGATTACTCCCTGGATTACGGAAGCGAGGAGCCCTTACCTAGTGGAGTGGGTGAAGACTGGGATCCCTACTGGAACAAAGGCTGGGATCCAGTACAGAGCTACTATGGTACGTTGTACAAAACTGTGTTAGATGAACCATACAAACACCTCTTTTTAAGATATCACTTAACAAATCTTATACTGCAGACCATCCAGAGGAAAAAGTATAGTATTACAATCACAATTTATCATAACAAAAGAGAGACTGAACTAATGGAAATGTGTAGCAGGAAAGAGAGAAATAAAAAACAGAACAACAGAGTGGCTTAGGAAGGCTGTATGATACAGTAACTGTCTCCCGAGACAGAGAACTCATCAGGACAATGTGGGTTATGGACCCTTTTGAAGTCAACACTGGTCATGCTGGTCACATAGGCCTGTCTTTTGAAGATGGGTCTGATGTGCTCGCTAATGGCAGCGTGAGGCCGGCACTGGTCTCTGGGACAAAACAGCCCTCTGCTTGTTGACAATTAGAGGGCAGATTGGGAACACAAAGGACAGGGGCCATTCAGCTGACCCTTTCATTCTTTCCCTGGGAGCCAGTTTGAGAATTTCAGGGGGCTTTTGGAGCTCTCCATAACTTTTACATCTTTGTCCCATCTTAATTCAGCCTTCCTCTAATGGGAAAAATATTGTGTCAGCTTGCACAGATGACTTATTTAGTGGTAAAAATAGTAAATAATGAGAGAGAAAGAGATACAGTAAGTGCCCATAAGGGAAGAATGGGAAAGAAGTGAGAAAAAGAAATGCTGTAGATCAGAGTGGAGTCATGGCCTTACCACAGCCTAAAGCTTCCCATAGATACAAATCTATGCATGAACGATCTTCTGAGGTTTTTGAAGGTTGTTGTTGCACCAACCTCTATTCCTGTAGTGTAATCTCAGAATGTGTCCGCAAGTATCTAAAAACCCTAAAAACCTGGGTACGTTTTACCCTTTATGCTTTCCTTTATCCATCTGCCAATGTATAGACTTATATCTGTTTGAGTGTCATGCATGTTGGCAAGCCAGCAAGGGCAACAATGCCTATTAAATGGTCACATCTAAAGATTCAGGGAGCAGAAATCAAGGATGTCTGCCTTAGCTTCTTCTGTAATTAAGATTCTCCTGAGATGTCATTCCCATATGGTCACATGGCAAACTGGCAGTGCCCACAAAGTAAAATTGGGTGCTTGCTACACTCAAGCTGGTATTTCTGCACCCACCTCACCTTTAATCAAGAACGACTTGTTTTCAGTGTTATTAACACCACAAGGATACATGGTGCGGAGGCGGATGGCCACAGCACAGCTTCCATCTCTCTAATTTTACTGAAGCATCTTAAAAAGAATATGGGTTTGCATGGGAAAGGTTAGACCAGGAGAAAATTGTCCATTTACATAAACCAAGACAGTCCACAAACTGAGTTTGTCTCACTATGTTTTCCCTCCCACAGAGAAGGAGACAGAGGAGTGGACTCCCTGGTCTCCCTGTTCAGTGACATGTGGACATGGTGAGAAAAAGAGGACCAAGTCCTGTGGTTACTCTTGCACTCTGACAGAAGCCTCTAAGTGTGACTTGGACCCTTGTCCTGGTGAGATTATACTTTCATCTTCAATTCAATAAGAAGAGATCAAATGGAAACAAATGACAAAATGTACAGAGTTAGCAACAGAGAAATTTTTGACAATTAAACAGTGTTGATATGAAGCACTGTTAATAAGTGTAGGTCCATAGGACAGAATCCCCTGGTGGTGGAGCAGAGACAGTAGGTGGTTCAAGGAAGCCTTAGACAATGTCTCTGGACATCAAGGAGGTTATGGTGATGGGGTGTAGGTGGGCTGTGCAGTTGTAGGTCTGAAAGACAAATAAACAGAATTTCAGTGATGTTTGCTACAGCAAACAGCAGCTACTGTCTAATTGGCTCGAGGAATGCAGGTGGGTGAGACTCTGAAGGTGGAGGGACATTTGACAGGGAGGGAAAGCAGAAGTGAAGGAGAGAATTAGATCAGGAGTATACAGCTCACATTAACCCACAGAGGAACAAGCGAATGTGAGGGAAAAGATCTTCCCTATTGAACCTTGGTCTTCAGCAATACAAACAGCAAATCAAAGGGCAGAGTACTGAGAGATTTTTTTGTGCTTTTGAAATTCTGCTGTCCCAGCTGGTTTTTAATCTACAGCTGATGCACCACTCTATTCTTTCATAGGTGATCTCAACACTGTGGTAGAGCCTTTCCCTTTTGAGATGGAGAATGGCACAGAGCCATTTGGAGCAGGTGAGTGTTAAGTTCTCCAGGATCATATATTTTACTCCATTAACTGTAACCCCTTCATACCTTACAGTCCACAGTTTTACAAAGCATTCTCATATACCTCGAGAAGTATATTTGATAGTACCTCCTTGGAGCTAATGGAATATGGTATGCTATCACAAGGGAGTGTAGAGCTGGCTTGCCCAGTGCTGTAACTGATGTTTAGAGATGTCAGGCAAAGGACTCAGTCTTGACCTCACAGAGGCAGCTCTTCATGCTACTTGTCATGCTACCACCAACAGCTGTCCTCTTTCCAACAGATGTGGATAGCTGTGAAAAGTGGCTCAATTGTAAGAGTGAGTTCCTTCAAAGATACCTCCACCAGGTGTTGTCTGAGTTGCCCAGCTGCCCCTGTTCCTTCCCCTCTGAAGTGGCATACGCTGTGGTCAGTGTCTACGATGACAGTCATGGACGGCAGTTCCGCTGGCGAGATGCCAGTGGCCCTATGGAGCACCTGGACATCTACAAGCCTTCAGCGAATAGCTGCATCCGCTCCGCCCTTTCCGGTGACTCATCTACACTTGCAGCACAACACTGTTGTTATGATGATCGTGGACGGCTGATCACACGGGGCAGAAGTGCAGGCACGCCTAACCTGATCAGCACTGAGTTCTCACCCGAGCTGCACTTCAAAGTAGATGTGCTACCGTGGATCCTGTGCAAGGGAGACTGGAGTCGATTCCATGCTGTACGGCCACCCAACAATGGGCTGAGCTGCCCAGAAAACCCCCATGAAGATGTGTTTATGAATGAACTGGAAGAGGCCAGGGAGTATTGAGGGACCACAGCCAAAACGACCGCTTCACTCAGAGTCACAGGGCCCAATCCTAACTTGACTACCTACCTTAAAAGTCATGAAATATTAACCATGCACTGATTCAGAGGAAATGCACATTTGTGAATGAGAGATTTGGTGAAGTGTGGCTGTCTCAAGGTAGGATTTGGCCCACTGTCCTGATATCAGGCTTGACTGAACTATATAAGTATATGAATGGATAAAAGCAGTATTCTTCCATTGCTTGTCAACTTGTTACACATCTAGCATGACATCCAGCTCCTTCTCTTTATATTCAGTGCACTCTCCTGGGGGTGTGTAGGCATGGTGTTTACTAATGGCTATTTGATGGTGTCCTGGAGTGCTTGTGATTGACTAATATCAACATATTGTAAACATCCTCATCGTGCTTCTTGTAAGTTTTACATTAGGAAATGTGGGAGTATGGGTTGGTTATACTGATGAAACAAAACCCTGAACGGGCATAGTCTGACAGATGAATCTCCCAGTTATGCTGCTACAATATAAAATCCTACAGGTTTTACAAATGTATTAAGATGAACTAGTCAATAGGACATCAGTAGACCCATAATATGCTGCATGCATTCACAGTAATGTACATTTCAGTCAGCCTTTTGGGACATTAAACTACAGACAAAAATGTGTTGAGGTATTTGAGAGCTGACCCAGAGAAGTAAGCTAAATGATTTGATATATTCTGTTATATCCGAGCTTGCTAGTGAGAATTATGAGAAAAGCTGTCAGGCAGTACTACAACAGAAACAGAACCTTTGATTTCAAATGTTTTGCCACACAGATTGATTTCATCAATCACATTTTAACAGCCAGGAAAACATGATTTGGGTGCCAAAGAGTTACCAATCAAACTGT